CCAAATGGAGAGTTCTCTAATCTTACTGTGTTTATGCAAAAGAACAAGCCAGGTTTGTTAAACTACCTTGCAATGTTTTAAAATGAAGGTGGAGAGAAAACCATGTTTCTGTAACTTGCTTTTTGTAAGAATCAGATTCTAATTCTACAGAGGTGATAGAATAAATGTATCCTAATCTTGATCTAAAAGGTACCCCCTTTGGGGAAATTTAGATAAAACTTGGTTTACTGTCTGTAGATAAAACAACCTAATCTGTAAAGGAACTCAATGTTATACATGCTGTCACCAGTCTGATCCGAGCATTGAAAGCCAGAGCTTTACTAGGGTGAAGCTCATCTCAAAGTGCAGAATTGCTTTCCCCCGGTCTGAATTGGCCAAAGTGTCGAGAAAGGCATCTAAACTGGTTAAATTAGAGTAGATTAATATCTAGTTCTAAAATACTGTGAATTTTCTTTCTATACTTTTTTGCATCTCGTTTTCTGTGAATAGTCATTTGGAGAGAACAAGAATATTATCAGCTCTTAATTTCTGTTGCATCATGGGATTAACAACTCCTGGACCAATGCAATGGACTATTATTAAAGGGTTATATTTTAACACTAGTGAGAACCATCTTCCATGGGGAGGAACTGAACAGCAAGTAAGGTAGAAGTAACTCAGAACTGTGCTTTCTGTGCCAGTAATGAACCTAGAGGAAATCTTGATCCTCCTCTCCTAACACCTGTTCAGCATCAAAGAACTTAGAGGAGGATCACAGCTTGACCTTATGCAAATGATCAAATGCTCATATGTTCAAGGTATAAATATCTGTTAGTTCTTATTGATAGCTTCAGTGTATGGGCAGAAGCTTTTCCAATCTGTACTGAGAAAGCCAGAGAATGGCTTGGTGTTTCTGTGTCCAGTAGAAAAATCTGGACACAGGAAGTCATTTTTCAATCAACCAAACCTGTTTGTAGAGTTAATCCTTTTCATTGTTTTAATGATAGAGATGGGTATGGCCTTATGTTGCTTTGGTTTCTGTTGCTTTAACTCTTTTTAAGACCTCATCGAGAAATCTCTCACATCCCTGTTCGAGATAGTCTCCCAAAAACTGAGAGGACTCGACCTTCTGATGTCGGTGGGCCCCACGGGTGACTTATGTGAAGTGGGGAGGAGAAAGACGGTCACTTTCTCCCCACCCGCCTCTGCCACCCGGGACCCTGGGTAGGCTAGGACCGGTAAAGTCTGCAGTGAGCACCTGCTTGGCACGGGCCTAAGCCCCGCCAGCCCCACAAGGTGGCCGTCAAGCCACACCTGAAGTCCGCTTGATCTTCTCGGCACAGGAGTTAATCCCCGCCACCCGATTGCTCGGGGAGCCACGGACTCAAGCTGGGGCGAGAATTTGCTCTTTGCAGGAAAGGAGAGACCAGTCCCAAGCCTTACCCGGGGTTTCTGGGGTTCTTGTCTCGCTCGCAGAAAAGAATTTCAGGAGTAGACGAGCAGTGAAGTAACAGATTTTATTTGGAGGCTTTTGGAGAGGGAGAGAAAGGGATAAGCAGATAGTAAGAGAGAGAGAGTAACGCGTCCAGAGGGAACGCAGGCTTCTCCGAGGGTGGATAGAGCGCCAAGTGGGCTCTCGAGCTGGTTCTTATAGATCCTTCTGACTCAGAAGGTTCTGGAATCTCCTTGGGGCTGGGTCGCTGGAGTCAGCCGGATAGAAAGCGGGTTCGAGAGTCATCTGACTTGGAATGTCCTGGGATCTCCTTGGGGCTGGGTCGCTGGAGTCAGCCGGATAGAAAGGGGGTTTGAGAGTCATCTGACTTGGAATGTCCTGGGATCTCCTTGGGGCTGGGTCGCTGGAGTCAGCCGGATAGAAAGGGGGGGTTCTCGGAAAGGAGGAATTTCATGGGGAGGAGGCCCACATCTTCAGGGTCTGGGGATGGTCTTATCAATTCCTTATTCTCTGTCTCCACAGGGTGGGTTGGTCCTAGAATTCTTCTTCTATGAGACTTTGTTTCATTGCAGAGAGCCTTTCCCTATCTTACCTGCCTACATCACTTCGACCTGTTGTTCCTCAAGAACAGAGGGCTCTGCTCTGATCTGGTGGAGGGATGCTGTTTCTACGCAGACCACACTGAGGTTGTCAGAGACTCTATAGCCAAGCTACGGGAAGGCCTTGAACGACATCGGAGAGGCCTGGGAGAATTGGTTTGAGTCTTGAAGACCCTCCTAATTCTGGGCAACAATACCGGACTCTACCCACTGAGGAAAGCTACTCTTAACCACGGGTCCTTGAATTAGGCCCCGACCCCCCCCCCCCCCACGATCTCTAGGATTAGAGATGCTCATTAAAAGAAGTGGGGAATGAAAGAATCCATATTAGGGCATCAGATTTTTGTGTACTTCAGCTAACTTGCTTGGATAATCTTCTCCATTGCCGTTCTGGAGGATGTGATGGATCCATCAGGACGTCGGAGGGCAGTCATCTTGCTCTTATAGTTGGCGAAGGACAGGCGGGCCTTACGAATACTTTTCCCGGCTTCTGCCGCATCTACCAGTACTTCTGCTCTTCTCTCTTTGAGGTCTTCCTTGATCGCATCTCTGCACTGCTTTGCAAGCTCGGACGTTAGCTTGCGGTTGCCTGAGGCATGCGCCAAACCACGCTGGCGAATTAGCTCAAGAGTTTTCGAAGATAGGCGACTTTTTGTGGCTATCTCTCTCTTGGCGTTCCTCGCACATTCATGGAGGTGCTGAACCAGTCGATCGTATTCCTCGTCAATGTTGTCAACAATGGCATCTTCCCATGTTGCCGCAATAGTACCAAAGATTCAGCACCATCGACCATATCCACACGGTAACCAAGCTCATTGAGGTTTCTCGGGAGTTCAAGATGCCGCTCTGCTTAACGTTCATTGATTTAAAGAAGGCCTTTGATTCTGTTGAGACGGAAGCGGTCATTGAAGCCCTAGCCAATCAGGGCATTCAAGCCCAATACATCAGGATCCTCCGTGAGCTGTATTGCGGATTCACTACCAGGATCTCACCATTCTACAAAGAAGTGATCGTTGATGTCAAGAGAGGGGTGCGGCAGGGTGATACCATTTCACCGAAACTCTTCAGTGCCACCCTTGAGAACATCATGCGACAACTGGAATGGGAAGGAATGGGAGTGAAGATAGATGGTCGGCAACTACACCACCTCCGCTTTGCTGATGACATTGTTTTAATAACACCAAACATCGGCCAAGCGGCACAAATGCTGGCCGACTTTGACCGTGAGTGTGGAAAGGTAGGACTACAGCTGAATCTTACGAAGACAATGTTTATGAGAAACAGCCTTGTTCCTGACGCCCCATTCGCTCTCAATGGAACGACCATCTCCGAATGCAACAGCTATGTGTACCTAGGTCGAGAGGTCAACATGAGAAATGACCTGGCACCCGAGCTGCGCAGGAGGAAGAGAGCGGCTTGGAACGCCTTCAAGAACGTCGAAGAAATAGCTAAGAGGACGAAGAACCTCCGGCTCCGGGCACATCTCTTTGATTCCACTGTTCTTCCTGCATTAACATATGCCTCAGAGACCTGGGCCCTACGCAAACAAGATGAGAACGCCATTCAGGTCTCCCAAAGAAGAATAGAAAGAGCTATGCTTGGAATATCACGTTTCACTCAAATGAGAGAACGAATCCGGAGTTCTGACATCCGTCGACGATCAAGGATCAGGGACGCTGTCTCATATGCCAAGGTGTCGAAAATCAGATGGGCTGGTCACGTAATGAGATTTAAAGACGACCGTTGGACTAGAGCTGTTACTGATTGGATTCCACGGGATGTCAAGAGACCGCGTGGCCGCCCACCTACCAGATGGTCAGACTTCTTTGTCAAGATCATGAACGATCGGTTTGAGGCCCTCCATGTTCCCGGAGCGAAGAGATGCCATTGGGCTACACTAGCACGTGACAGGGACAAATGGAGACGTTACTGGCGCCCGCTCGAGCAAATCGACGACTAACGGGAAGTTAAGTGATTAAGTGATCAGCTAACTTGCAACATTGCTTTCTGTAAAACTGCTTGGCTGCTTTGCACCTGGGGGAGAGGGGACTTGGAAAGTGAACAGGGCATAACTTCTTTCTAAACCAAGTGTGACAGGATTCAGGTGTATTTACTGTTCCTGAAATGTATTGTCTCAGTAAAGCACCCTGCAGATTTGGGTAAAGGATAACTCAGGATGCGGGTGGTTGGGGGAAATTGCCCTTTCCTGGAGTGTGTCTCACTAAAGCACCCTGCAGACTTGGGTAACTCAAAATGTGGATGGTCAAGGGAGATTACCTAAGGCTTAATGATTCCGGCTATAACCTTGCTTGTGCTGACAATCGATGTATGTAAATGCTGATCTTTGAATCTATAGGCTAAGGGGTGAGGTACTTTTAAATGGATTGGTTAAGAAAGTATATGTTGTTACAAATCTATTGGCTATGAAATGTGCGGGCCTTGCTGTAACGGCCAGTGAAGGCCTATATAAGATCCCCTTTGAAGAAGCTCAGGGCTCTCAGCCACTGCCCATTTTTGGGGTATGCTGCGGAGCCCAAGCATGCTGGTCTAAATAAACCCCGTTTTTACTCCTGCAGGAATTGTGTCTATCTGGTCTCTCCGCGCCTCCCAGGGCTAGGGAACTCCCGATCCCAACAATACTTGGTCCAAAAACAACAGCTCCAGAGGTTACGGACATATGTTTTGCTTGGAGACTGTACTTTCCAAACTGCCTTTATGTTGATAGTTCTGTTTCGTTTTATTTTGTTTTGGTTTGGGGGTCACATCTAGTGCCTGGGGGATACCCTAGCACACCAAGGTGCTTGGAGGACCATGTGGTACGGGGAATCAAACATGGGCCTCCTGCATGTAAACCATGTGCTCAGTGCATTGAGCTTGCTTGTGGATCTTATTTCTGAAAAAAGTGCGTTTGAGGGGGAATAACTGATGATTGTTTTTTATTCGAGGCCAATAATGCTACACTGAAAAGGTATTAAGAAATATAATTTTTATAACTGCAGATAGCAACAATAAAGTCAATAGTAGTAAAGTTCTACTGTGATACTCCTTAGCAAATAGCTATACACCAAATCAATGTTCTAGTGTTACATGCTGTCTTGTAAGATATACCTAGAATTTCAACCTAAGAAAAAAGGACAAAGGAGTGGGGGGGAAACACAATTTACTCCTAATATGATTTGAACTTTATTTAAGGCAGAAACAGATATAATACCTTCTCCAGACCAAAAGCAATTGTCCAAAAGCTCAGTGACCACCAGCATGCTCTGTGAAACTTGCCTACGAACATGCATATGACCAGTGATGCTGTTTAGCTAGAAATGAACTTTTGTGAAGCAAGTTTATTAAAAGATCAGCAGATATAAAACAGACGCAACTATAAAGATTTTGATGAATTACCAAAAATTGAATGTATAACCTGATGAAAAAAAGAAAGAATATATATGTATGTATATATATGTATATAAAATTCATCTTAGGTTTCTTTCACTCTTTGGGCAAAGAGTAAGATTACATTTTTAAGTTTGCCAAATAGGATTTCCTTGGAAGAAATTTATTTTGAGAAGCCCAGACAAACGGGAACTCCTTAGTCTGCTCTCTGAAAAAGTATCTGGGGTGCAGAAGGCTTGGGACCAGATTATCCTTTAAATACTTAACACTTCTGCACAACAACTATGTGACTTTTTACAAGAGACATATTCTCTCTATATATCACTTTTGTTATAACATGGAGATACAGATATAAACCTGTTGGGGACCAAGTATGTAAGTAGCTATTAGTAACAGTTAATAAGCATAAGTTATTACCATCTGACAAAAAGTGTAAATGGGTGTTACATATGTCTTTCAGGAAAAAGAAGATATCTCATCATTTTAGGAGAAATAAAAGAATAACCAGATGATTTTCTACTATCATTTTCTTCTGATCTGAAGATCCATTTGAAAGCAAACTATGAAATGATGTGCGTTCCTTAGAGAAGGCTCAACTTCTGACTTTTCTTTCTCCAGAGACAACTGTCAACACCGTCAGCACTGTTCTCCCGTTGTTCAACGATTTGCTCGAGTGGACATCAGTAGCGTCTCCATTGTGAGACTTGTTACTGTTTTTGGCATATTGAATACGCCACGGGGAGTTTGCCAGGCACTGCCTAGTGGGAGGGATACTCTCGGTAGCTTGCCGGGTTCTCCAAGAGGGATGGAGGAATCGAAAACTAGGTCGACCGCATGCAAGACAAACGCCCTACCTGCCATACTATCGCTCCAGCCCAGAGACAACTAGAGTGAATTTTTTTTTCTTTTTGGGTCACACCTTGCAATACTGTGGAGTTATTCCTGGATCTACACTCAGGAATTACTTCTGGCAGTGGTCAGGGGATCATATGGGATGCCAGGGATAAAATCCGGATCAGCTGGGTGCAAAGCAAGAGCCCTACCCGGTATGCTATCACTCTGGTCCCTCATGTGAAAGATTTTAAGGGCAAAAACATGCCTTTGTGGGCTTTAGGAATGGATGGAAAAAGAAAAGGGTTTTACTAAAAGGGTTAAGAAAACGACAGTCTGAAAAGAAAAGTAAGGTTACTTATCTATTAAAATTAGAAGTGTCATATTCAGAACTCTAATATCTAAAGGAAGAAAAATATTCAGAAATATGTGAGGCAAGTACACCCCATATAGCAGATTCCAAAAATCAGGGGAAAATAAGGGAGAAGCTAGAAGTCTGGTCAGAGCTCAGAATTTAGTGTTCAGCGGCCCAGTGATCTGGAGGAAGAAATTCAGCTTTTTAAACTTAGTCTTATATGAGGCTCCACACTAACTGGGTGGGGAGTTACTCTTCTACTTTCCAATAAGCTTCCATTTTCAAAAAAAGAAAGAAAGAAAGAAAGAAAGAAAGAAAGAAAGAAAGAAAGAAAGAAAGAAAAGCAGAAATTCAGCTTTGGGGAATGGAGAGATATTACAGAGGGTAATGCGACTGCCTTGCATGTGACCAAGTGGCTAAATCCCTGATACTCCATACACTACCACCCTCCCGTTCCCAGCCCCGAGCCCATCGGGAATGATCCCTGAGCACAGAGCAAGGAGTAAGTCTTGAGTATGGCTGGGCGTGACCCCAAAACAAGAGCAAAAGAAATTCAGTTTTCTACATATGTGCTGAAAATTCCAGAAATGGCTTCTTTGCTCCTGCCTCTGCCAAAGATTTCAAAGAATATAAACCTCTGCTGGGTTATCAGCCACCTAAATCAGGAAGCAAATTTTCTTGAAAAACTACTGTCCAAATTCTGCTCCTGCCCACTTTTCTAGCTATGGGGGAAGACAGGAAATGTGGTTTCCTGATTTTCTACCATCAAAACCTCTCCCTGACTACTTTAGATTAAAGGGTAAATTTTAAAAAGCAAGAAAAAATGAAAGGACCAACCAGACAAGTCTCACAATGGAGACGCTACTGGTGCCCATTCGAGCAAATCGTTGAACAACGGGAGGACAGTGCCAGACATGCCAATAAAAAGAGGAATAACTGACAGGTTGAATACAGAACATAGAAAATCATCTCAAGGGTTAAGGAGATGGTACAGCAGGCAGGCCGCTTGCTTTGCACATGACTGACTTGGGTTCAAACTGGAACCTCAAATGGTCCCTCAAGACCTGCCGGTAGTGATCTCTGACACAAAGCCAGAAGTACACCCTGAGTACCACTGAATGTGGCAAAAAAACAAAACAAAAAGAGAAAAAAAATCATTTCAGACCATGGCATTCCACCCCCTCCCTGAAATGTTCTTGTTCTTACACAAACTACTTCTTAAAATAAAATTTTTCAACAGGAGTTTCTACATAGGACTTAGACTGGTAATTAGTCTACTTCTTCAGCTCTGTCTTCTGACAGCTTTCAAGACATTCTTACAGCACTTCATTCAATTCCTTTATCTTTCAGCTCCTGTTTCACACGCTTCAGATAATCAGGATCAGGATAGCCATACCTGAAGAAAGAAAAAAAATACCTTAGCTTCATCACAAATGATCTTAAAGAATATGTACAGTAGAATTACCATTCAGAGTTGCAAATACCCAGGAGCTATCCTGAAGGTAGATTACATATAATCACTTGCACTTGCGGGAGGGAGTTATTTTGCTCGTGCATGAAGCTTAGCTGTTTACCCAAGATCTGCCTTCTAATAAGATGCTTATTTTCATTTTGTGGTAAGCAGAGACTCTCACAAGTAAGATTATACTAGATATTTTTTTAGATTTTTATTATACTACTGTGTTTGGCATATCGAATACTCTCGGTAGCTTGCCGGGCTCTCCGAGAGGGGCGTTCGCCTTACACGCGGCCAACATGGCCGACCCGAGTTCGATTCCTCCGCCCCTCTCGGAGAGCCCGGCAAGCTACCGAGAGTATTCGATATGCCAAACACAGTAACAACAAAGTCTCCAATGGAGACGTTACTGGGCCCGCTCGAGCAAATCGACGATCAACGAGAGGGCCTTTACCTTTACCTTTACCTTATTATACTACATTTTTATGGAGAATACCCATCTTCTACAGGAGGACTTTCAAACTTGGAAAATTAGCAAAAACCTCAGAATGGATTCCTTTTTGAATAGTAAAAGTCCAAGGCAGTCTGAATTTCATAATGAACAATTGTATTGTCTTATCTACACTGCAACATCCACCACCAGTAACTAAGATATTTTTTTCTAGCATACTATTAGTGCAGTGAATTTCTTATCTCTATGGACTCACAGAAGTGGGTAGAAAAATGTGGTATATTTAAAATGGACAAAGTAAATAGGACCTACCCTTCAAATAGACATAATGTCCCAAATTAATATGTCTCACATACCATTCAACTAGGATTTAAAGACCTCCTAATCACTCATAAAAATTTTAGTAATGCTTTAAGGTAAGAATCACAGAGGTTATGGGAACCAACACTCTGCCTTTAAAATTTTCATGAGGGGCTGGAGCAATAGCACAGCAGGTAGGGCATTTGTCTTGCACATGGCTGACTCCGGCTCAATTCCCAGTACCCCATATGGTCCCCAGAGCACCGCCAGGAGTAATTCCTGAGTGCAGAGCCAGGAGTAACCCCTGTACACTGCTGGGTATGACCCAAAGTGAAAAAAAAAATAAAATTTTCATGAAAGAAGTCATGAAATTTGCTTATACAGGGATGGAAATGGAGAGTATCACACTGAGTGAGTCAGAAGGAAAGGGACAGACACAGAACGACTATACTCATTTGTGGGATGTTTAAAAAAAAATCAAAACCAGTATGAGTAATATTCAAGGACAAGTGTAGGATAACACTGTTTTGTCCTTCCTGCATAACCTCAGGTAGTTTAGGTTTATTGGGTTGCTTTCATCACAGTGCTCCCATTCCTCTGTGTTTATTTGTAACTTCTTTCTTTGTGCTCTGTTGACTTGTAAATATTGTTTTTCTCTTCTCCCTAAGTCCTTTGCATAGTTTATTCAGAGCAAGGTTCTTTTTGTATGGACACAAGAAGACATGCTTTTGTAATGTGACTCTCTGTGATATTTCCCTCCTAGGCATCTGCATTCTCAACTTAAGCCTCAGTTGCCCTCACTTCCTAGCGTCCCTTTAGCAGGGTCCCGACGAGGGACTGGATGGAACCAGGGCAAGCAGTAAGCTATGTGCTACCCTGCCATCGAGATGGGCCTGGCCAAAGTGCCATAATGCTTAAGTATAAGTTAAGAGCTTGGTCATGGACAAATGCTGTCATGATACAAAAAGTAATAACTAGATTTGGACCTTGCTAGGGTAAGGAAGGATTAATCTGGCCTGAGCGCTGTAGTCTGAGTCTGTGGCAAGATGTTCCCAGGAGAGCTGCCCTACAAGTCTCAATGTTATTTCTTACTGTGTCCATACAAAAATAGCTAGTAATTTTTCCTGTTTCAAATTTTGTGTTTTTTGTAAAAAGAAAAAGGGGGAGATGTTGGATAACACTGTTCTGTCCTTCCTACATAGCCTCAGGAATAGTTGATAGTTGATAGTTTATTCGACTGAGGAAAAGAGAAAAACATCTTAAGGAGGCATTTTGCCTGGGGCAGTCAGGAAGGGCTTTTTTAGGTTGGTTTGGCTACCTGACTGGGTGGAGCATCAGCCCAGACTAGAGGGGAGTTGGAGACAAGACAGTAGAGAGACAAGGGAGCTGGACAGAGAGAGAGCGGGGCTGCAAGATGGACCACAGAGAAACTAGCAAGGAGAACATGTGCTTGAGAGAACCTAGGCCCTCCATAACATAAATTTCTTCTATGGGATAAACTTCCTTGTAATAAACTGCTACGAAGATCAACCGGCCTGGCCCTTGTCTCTTTCTTCGTCTGCCCTTGGCCAACAGCCGTCTCGATCCAGGCCACACACAGCAGCTCTAGGGCACCGAAAGCTGGCTGTGAGATAGAGCCGCCCAGAGAGCCCGCGAACATACAACCTTCTGCATGCATAGTTTTTTACAGACAAGTGAAAACAGGGCCAGGAAATCGGGTCCACAGTTGGGAGCTTGCCACAAGTTTGGGGGGGGGGGGGAGGGCAGAGGGCACTAGGATAGAGATGGGACCACTATGACAATAACAGTTGGAAATGATCTCTCTGGATAAGAACTAAGTGCTCAAAGTAGATAAAGATATGCTTGATACCCTTTCAAAGGGATATACATGATAACCTATGCAAACCATAATGCCCAAAAGGGGAGAAAGAGTGAAAGCGAGAGCAAGAGAGTGAGAGAGCAAGGGAGAGAGTGAGAAAGAAAGAGAGAGAGAGGGAGAGTAAGTGCCTGGTATAGAGACAGGCAGAGGGTAGGAGTGGGAAGAAATCTGGGGACATTGCTGAAGGGAAATGTACACTGGTGAAGGAATAGGTGTGGAACATTGTATGAAAGAAAACAATTGTGAACAACTTTGTTTAAAAAAGAGGTAAAGTAAAATTTAAAAACTAAAAAAAATTAAATATTTTCATTCCCGATTAGGAGCTCTCAAATTACTATACTCAGTAACATTGCCATAAACAATTCCTTATAGCCTCATCCTCAAAAGGGCATAGTTTACAAAATCTTAATTCTGTTTAGCAAATATGTTTCAAAAGGTTCTCACTGTTCTGGTCCCCCAGAAAGGGCTGTCTTGTGGTGGATATCATTCCATGTGATAACATCTGACATTCCTGATGTGCGAGAGGTCCCCACTGTGAAAATCAGTTTTTGCTCAAAGGCCCTTCGAAGCAGTTTCAAAACCTCTTTTCCTTCCTCATTATCAGGTAAGTACGCTTTGCGTTGTGCTCCACAGTATCTCTTCCCTGGGTTTGGGTGTTCCTCCTGTATGAAGACAAGACAATGTCATATGGAAACACTGCTTGGGCTAAATTTTACTATCTGTATACGTATTTCATATGTAGACACGACAAATGGTTAAGCAAAAAAAAAAATTGAAGGTTTGCTCATATTCTCAACAATTTCTATTTCTCCTCTTTTCCTTAATTGATGCCGGGAGCACGGTTCATCTTCCTGAATCCTTTCACCCACCATTCTTTCTCTGCCTTAAGAGACACCAAATATAGCTCATTGTAAGCAAACACTGATACTGTTCTCCTACTTTAGTGCATAAGACCCTTGAAAGGCTGCCCCAATGTCTAATTGACAACAGAGCAGTTCCTTTTGCTCTGCAAATCCTAATGTAGTGGAAAGAAACCCATGACCCTCAGGCACTTACTGTCTGTATGCCTTCTTTCATGTTATAATGGATCACAATGGTGCCACAGTGATCATAACCTGGAAGTGGGGTCTTCATGAAATTCACGCTCATGGTTCCCTCTGGTTGGTTCCCTTTCTGGACACCATAGGAAGTCTGGCACATAGGACAAACGGGCTTAAACGAGAAGGCCTTGTTGATGCAGTCAGTGCAGAACTCATGCTTGCATTTTGGAAGCACTTTTTTGTCACTAATCGTATCCATACAGATGCTACATAAATTCTTATTGTCATCCTGTCCCATGTGCCCAGCACCAGCAGAATGCTGGAATGTTGTTGGAGCTGTTTCTAAATAAATATCAATGTCCATAGTCGTTTCATGATCCCCACTTTGTTTCTTTTCAGTTAATAAAGACACTCCCTCTCTTTGTAAGACATACTGCTTTGCCTTTGTCAGGAGATCTGGCAACCCAATCAAAGTCACGGTCTCGTCATTTGGCACAAAGTGTACATGTGGATGATTTTTCCTAAAATCATCAGCGAACTGCTTGCTTTGCAAGTGCTTTTTCTTTTTGCTGAAAGATTTCAGTGAAAGAATTTCTCTTGTCAACTGACTCGCAATATCTTGATAAGCATCAATAAAATTTACATATGCATGTACAGACAGATTTAATTCCTTGTCCTTAGGTTCAAATATAATGACAGTTCTTTGGCTTTTTTCTAGAACATGACTTCGAGTGTTGTACTTTTTTTCTATCTCTGATATCGCCTGGCATAATTCATCTATCAAAAGCTTGTACTGAGAGGTGTCAACCTCAATTCCATTCACCATGTATCCAGGAGGTAGTATCTTCAGAGATACCTTAGTAAGACTATCAGGGGTTAGGGATGCAAGGAAGTGTTTGGCAGCTGTGATATCATCTTGAGTCCCAATGAGAATTAATTCTCTTCCATTCTCCTTTATAAGGAGCTTTTCAAACTGGAGAGCTAATTTCTTTTTTATTTTATGTGACTCCTTATTATCTGGGGAAGTGATACGCTCCTCCCCCAGACATGCCGTGATCTTCTGAAATTCTCCAACAAAAGATTCAAGAGCAGAGTCGATGTCATCTGATTGACTTGCGATGAATTCTAAATAGATATAATTGGGAACATTCTCCTGAGTTTTAATTTTTACACCAAATTTTTTCTCTATGGAATCTATTTTATTGGGAAATATATATTTAAAATATTCAAAGAAAAGCAAGGGAATTTCAAAACGTGAGCTCTTTGTTTCGCTTCTAGTTTCTGGCTTTAAGGGAGTAATACTGCTGCTGCTCTCTGATGGATGGCGGAGTTGTCTCTCCTCCAGTGAAGTAACACTGCTGCTCCTGTTTGGTAGGCTGAGTAGCTGTCTCTCCTTTAGAAAAGTGGAAGAGCCATGTTTCGGCTCATGGTCCAGGACTTGACTGCTCAAGTAGTGATATATATTTTGGATGTCTCTGAAGTCACCACACACCTTCTCGATCCCATTGATGCCCTCCATTCTTTTGACATTGGGGAAGAGAATGGGGATGTGGCTCCTCTGCTCTTTAGAAAACAGGTCACAGTTCAGGTTGGCTGTGACATCAAGAAAGATCTGGAATTTGAAAAGCAACAAGTGAAATCTCATGGACATTCAGGCCCCTTGTACCCTCTCAGGAGAATGTCTGGAAACAAAGACATAAGCCACTGGGGTTTCTACACGACCACTCCTTTCTGTGTTTGTAGACGGTATAGCAGGCTCTAGCCCAGGCGTGCTTAATCTTGAAGCCAGACTCAGGCCCAGCGCCAAGATCCTTTAGCCAATAGGAAATGTGGGCATGAGCATTTTGAGAAAACTCTAAGGACAAGAACTCTAGATTCAAGAGCTTCCTGCATCTGCTTGACCTTGGGCAGGAGGAAGAGGGAAGTTGCAGCATGGTCTATGAACCAGGAAGGAAGGTGTGGATCTGAAAAAGATTCCTTTTTCCTATTCTTGTTTTTCTCTTCTTCAACTCTCCTCCTTTCTTTTTAAATAACTGTTGTGGGAGCCACATCTGGTAGTGTTTGGGGGTCCAGGGGCCATTTCTAAAGGTTCTCATTAGGCCATGAAATGTTGGAGATGCAATACAGAGACTTACTCTATCATATAAGCTATCTCCCCAGACTCCCCCTTTTAAACTTCTTTTAATGGGGCTGGAGTGATAGCACAGCAGGTAGAGCGTTTGCCTTGCCCATGGCCCAATCTGGGTTCAATTCCCAGCATCTCATATGGTCCCCCGAGCACGGCCAGGAGTAATTTCTGAGTGCATGAACCAGGAGTAACCCCTGTGCATCGCTGGGTGTGACCCAAAACGCAAACAAACAAACAAACAAAACAAATAAATTTCTTTTAAATTTTGGGCCCATACTCTGTGATGCTCAAGGGTTATTCCTGCCTCTATGCTCAGGAATAGTATACTCCTAAGTGAGTTTTAGGGGACTATATGGGATTTTGGGGGTCAAACTTAGCTGCATGCAAAGCAAATGCACTACCAGCTGGACTATCACTCTGACCCATCTCCTTTCTTATTTAAAGAAAAACAAGTAAACACCTAACTGCACACAATCTTATTAGATCCTCTAAACCTGGCCTTGAGAAGCGCATATATAAAATATACCAGATTATGCTTAAGAAAGGGCAGAAGCAAACTGAATGTGATACAAAGGCAAGTTTCAAATGTTTTGTTCTCCCTTTTCCTACGCTATTTTGCACATGCTACTCCCTCTCTGTCTTCAAACTGTTCATGGGGCCAGTAAGATGCTTTGCTTGAGGGAGGCTTGGATTCCATCCCTGACATCATATGGTTCTCCCAAGCCCTATCAATAGTGATCCCTGAGCACTGAGCCAAGAGCAACCTCAGAGTATTACTATACCATTGTAGAGTCGACACTATTATCACTTAACATCTGGTCCTCTACAAGCCTCTTTCTGGGCTTTGATCTTCCAGTATAGCCCACTGGATTTTCAGATGTCTGCAAATCAGTCAAAGAAGACCTTGAATCTCCTGGTGTTCAGCTTCTAATACCTGTCTGAGGAGGGCAAATGGGAAGGGGTACACACCTCTGCACTTGTTCTTCCCTCTGCATCAAACATTCTGTCCCCCGAAATACACTTATCTAGTCCCTTTGCTTCATTAATGCCTCAAATTTAAGAGGTCTTCTGTCATCATATTCAAACAGTGGGCCTATCATTTTCTTCTACTTTGCCTTATTCCTCTTCCAATCCATTGGCAAACATCTTATTATATATGTATTTCTTGACTCTTATGGTCTGTTTCTCTCACTAAATTGTAAGGTCCCTCCTGACACAGTCTGCTGAATACCTGGCTAAACCACAGCTCCTGTGACAGTGCCTGGCTCATACTAGGCAGTTGATATTAATTTGTCAAATGATTTTAAGTGATTATCTCCTCATCATTCCAGTTTCAGGCAAATATAAACTTCTTAGGGTTGTTTCTGATTTTTTCTCCTTACTGGTTCTGGCCCTGTCACTCTTCAAGGAAAAACTCCATTATGTTTTTCTGAGTACAATTCTGTCCAGAATTATTTTACTGATTGTATTTACTTGCTATTATTGCTTTATGTAATGTCCCATCTCCAGCAGGGATCTGATCTGTATGCTTACTTCTGCGTGCTTGCCCAGCTCACTGTAAGTCCTCTTACGGTGTAGAGGGAGTAGATCAATAGTGAAAGGTATGATCATTGGAGAGGAAGTAGCACTACTTAAAAAAAAAACTACCCTACTCATAGGGCTGGGGGGTGAGGGGGAATTGCTCAGTGTACAGCCGCCCTGCCTTACTTGTTCAATGATTGCACCACAAACTAACAAATGCTTTCTGGTCATTACTCACCTTTTGGACACAGGAAATCACAGTGTCTGGGGGATATTCTTCATCTGGATGCTTCTCATCTGACCTTGGCTCATCTACTAATTGTGTTAATGAAGACTTTCTCGGTCTGGCATTCTCCTGTGTTGGATTTCCAGTAGGTTCCAGGTAAACACTCACAGTTTCACCATCAATAGTAAGACAATGATTTTCCTTTTTCAGTACACTCTCTTTATCTTCAGTGGAGACATTAAACAGACATATCACATAGAAATGAGATACTTGAAATATTTCACATATTTCAAATATATCATGTTATTTATTTTAGTTTGTGATCATACCCATCAGTAGTCAGGGTTTACTCCTGGTTTTCTGTGATAACTCCTGTCAGTGCTGGGGGCTGGGGGCGAGAGGGGACCACAAGGGATGCTGGAGATCAAATCAGGGTCAGCTGTGTGCAACGCAAGCACTATACCCCTATCTCTCCTGCTCATATATGCCATTTAAAATAAATTTACTCATGCACACATACTCTTCCCCAGCATGTTCCCAGTAAGGGATGTTTCCATATCTTAGAAAGGTAGATTGATGGTAAGGGACATGAAACAGCAAGCTATTCAAAACTCTAATTTGGTGGTGGTGGTGGAGGTGGTGGGAAGAGGAATGTTGAAGACATACTAAGGAAGCACGAAGGCAATTACTGGCTCTGTGCTCAGAAGTGACCCCTGGTGGCCACCGAAAATGGTTCCAAAAATGGAGTGAGAGCCACCACGGCAGGGCTCTTAATTCCTTAATTCCTGTACTATTTCTCCTGGCCCTATTCAAAACTCTAAAGAGGACATCCTAAGCTTTACTTTTGAAAAAGTCTAATGAAAACAGAACAGTCTGTTCATTTAAAACATTTTGCCTGGCATCAACCAAAATGCCACAACAAATGTGTCGATATAAAAACTGAGGCATATACACTCAGTGAAATACTACTTTGCCATTTAAAGGATGTCATCACACCTTTCCTTAGGGACAGAATTAATGGATCCTGAGGTGATTATGCTAAGTGGAAAAACTCCGGAAGTGAAAGGCAACTCCAAATGGTTTCATCCATATATGGAACATGAATAACTACTGCAAAAGCACACTGGCAAAAGGCAGCAAAATCTAATTCCTAGACCCAGCGGTTACCAGAGGGGAAGGGAAGTAGGATGAGTAGAGGGGTCTTTAGGGGGGTGGGATGGCACGCAACTCTGGTGGAGGCAGTGGTGAGTTTTATATATACATAGAGGACTGAAACTAAATATGTATATAGAAAACACTGTGAACCAATAATGAACCTAATAAAAAGAATACACCAGAGTAAGACTCTGCCACATATTTATATTTTTTCTTTTAAACCGAGTATTAATAACCTCGGTTTAAAAGGAAAAAAAGGAGGTGGGCAGTTGATCTGCAGCATTAGTACATCATATTAGGGATCATCCGGAGATCCCTGGCACCACATGTGGTCCCGGAGCCCCCCAGGAACGATCCCTGGGCTAAGAGACAGGGGTAAGCCCTGGGTACCACCGCAGGCGTCGCCCCTCCCCCAAAAACGTTTCGAAACTGTCTTCAGTTCCCAGTCCGGCGCTGTGGAAAATATTCTATGCAGCCAAGTGGGGGCGGGGGTCGGACTCGAAAGCGCCGGGTTTCGCGGTGCGCGGCGACCGGCCCCGGGGAAGGGCTCGCGGGAGGGCGGCCACCCCCGCGCCGCGCGCCGCCTTCCCCGCTCCCCGGCCGCCGTCCCCTACCTAAGGCACCGCGCGTCGGCGACCCCCGCCAGCAAACCGGCGGGACGGCCACTCCGGACCGGAAGGCGGGCGACCTCGCGGCCAGCCCGGCAGGTGCCCGGGGTCCGGGGGGGTCCGGGAGCCGAGTCACCGCCCCCGGGGTCCCGCCGCGCCCGCGCCCCGCGCTCACCCGCCGGCTCGCGGAACCTCACGAGATAGACTCCGGGCTCCCCGCCGTCGACGGGCCTCACGGTGCACTCGCCGCCCCCAGACTGGCGGCTCTGGAAGTAGCGCTCCAGCTTGCGGTGCAGCCGCGGGTCCGGGGGGCTCAGCCGCACGCGCAGCGGGGACGGCGGGCGACGGCGCGAGGCCATGGCGCCGACGGCCGGGTTGCGGGGTTCGGGCACCGTGTCGGGCGCGGGGCGCGAGTGCGCGGGTCGCTCGGGGGGCCCCGCCCCGCCCCGCCCCGCCCGCCGCAGCCTTTCGGTTTCGTTTCCCCGGAGGCCGGCCGGGTTCCCCGCTGAGCCCGGAGCGCCCTTCGCCCCTCCGCTCCCCGCCGCGCGCCCCTTCGCTCCCCGCCACCCGCGCGCCGTCGCTCCCCGCCGCGCGCCCCGTCGCTCCCCGCCGCGCCCCGCCGGGTGAGTAGCTCCGCGAGGCGCGTCCCGGGCGGAGCGGGTGGCCCCCGCGCCGGGTGGCCCCAAGCGGGGCGGTGGGCGAGCCTGACGTTGCGGCCAAGGGGAAGCTCCCCTCCAGTTCACGATTCTTGCCTGTGCACCCGTGATTTGCGTCCCTCTCTGAGTCCATGAATTCCTCAGTCGTTGTTTTTCCGAGGAACTAGATTTATTCACCGGCCGGACGACTGGGCGCCGCTCCCCTGCCTCGATTTGCCCAGCGAGGTCGAGCCAGGCGACCGACTGGCAAAGGGCCCGGAGTGAGCTGTGAGTAAGAAACTGGTCTCTTAAGTGCTTTCGAGTGAGCGTTTGGACCAAAATCTTGATAAAAGTGTGGGGAGGGTGGTCTGGCGGAGAGGAGTGGGGGGTGGGGGTGGGGAGGGGGGATAGAGAGGGGCAGGGAGCTGGTGAGAGGAAGGGACCAAAGTGGTTGAAAGCCTTGGTCCTGAGAACACTGGAGACCTGACGCCGGAAATGAGGTGGGTGATATGGTCCTGGTCAGCGTTGTCCAATAGAAGTGTCATGGGAGGTACACAGGTAACTTCATGTGTGTGTTTTGGGGCTACTCCCACTGGCCCCGATTGCTGCTGGAGACCACGCAGTGCTGGGGATCCAACAGGGCTTTGCACTCACAAAGTGTGTACTTTGCACTTTCGCCACCCTGTGACTCAACATTTTTTACTCGCCTTGTTCCTTGAAGTATAAATGCGTAGAATTAATTTTAATGATGTAGTTAACACAGCTACCCTAAAACGAACAATTTGAGCTTGAATCAACGTTAAAGCTCTAAGAAATATTTTCCACTCTTTTCGCCTGACCTATGTCTACACAGTCTAGTATCACTCTCGCCCATCACAGTGACCTTGGGACCAGCCACTTTGCAGGTGTTCAAGACCTCTGTGTGGTTCATGGCCCACACTGGCAGCACAGGCTAGATGGTGAAATAATTTGCTGATTAGTGGGGAGAAACAAGGTCGCAAGCAGGGGAAACAGCAGAGGGCCTTCTCAGATGTACATTTTAGGGAGTTGGTGTTGATTATGTCTTGTACCCACAGTTGCGAAGTCGCGAAGCCAAATTAGGAGAGATGAACGGGAAGTTTCTATTCGATTCACAGCACAGTGGGTCAGGGCCTTGAACCTGCAAAGAGTGACTCAAATGTGATCACATTTATACCCCAAATTTATATCCAGTGTGTCAATTAAGAGCATGCAAGATTAACAGAATCTGTAGTGAAAACAGTCAAAATGCACTCATTTGTGGAATATAAAATAACATAATATGAGACAAGGACAGTAGACACAAGGGCCAGGAATATTGCCCCATAGTTGGAAGCCTGCCTCCTTAGCTGGCGCAGAAGGCAGCTGGAATAGAGAAGGAAACTCTTAAGTCATTGATGGTTGGAGGGATCATTCGGGATGGGAGATGTGTGCTGAAAGTAGATAAAGGACCAAATGTGATAGCTTCTCAGTATCTCTGTTGCAAACCATAATGCCCAAAAGTAGAGAGAGTGTATAGGGGAAATTGTCTGCCATAGAGGCGAGGGAGGGTGGAGATACTGGTGACATTGATAGTGGAAAATGTGCATTGGTGAAGGGATGGGTGTTTGATCATTGTATGACTGAATCTCAAACATGAAAGCTTTGTAACTGTATCTCATGGTGATTTGGTAAAGAAAAAAAACAATTAAAAAAAGAGAACAAAGTCAAAAACATTGCCCCACATTCTGAAAGGTGTGGGGAACAAGATATGGCTGTTGTCATATCACAATAATATGCTCCGGGTCAGGTATATTTCCCCACAAGTTAGCAGACCACCAGTCCAGATGGTTGTGTGCAAATTCCAGGATTTAGCAGGAGTTAGAGTCAGCACAAAGTTAACATAGATGCACATAGGTGCACATAAATCTCAGGAACAAACTTTCAATTCTTAATAGGAGTCTACATATGTATGTATATGCCTGGAAAGTCTGGAAATGGATCAGTCTATGTCTATATGTGTACTGTATATGGCGGCTAATACTGGAAATGGGTCATTCCTTATGGAGAATAATTTGGCAGTCGTACCAGAACTGTATCTGCATATACTTTCTGATTGGGCATTTTAGTCTTAAGAGTTTGCCCCTCTGATTGGTACCTGTGTATTGCAACTCATATACATACTTGCTCTTTTATCTTTTTATAGTTTATGCCATGAGGTTAAGAATAGTGCTCAAGTTTAGATTATTTGTGTACATGGTGACTGTGTACCACCTCTACCTCTGAAGTGCCCATGATCCTCTACCACTGTCCTACATCATCCCTGGTCTATTCTTCATTTTCCTCATCACTCCAACTGTTTGTTGATTGACTGTTTTTGTTTGGGTGCATATGGTTCATCACTTTACTACTACCAAAGTGACCAAGAGCCTCCACCAATGCCCTTATGTTATTACTGTTCATTTTGTTTTCCTTTCTCTCCCAAACCTGATATTCTTACATATTCTTATAAATAACAAAGTACATATGTACTATAAGATATCAAAAAATAACAAAACTGTCTGTATGCTAATATGGAAAGATCTCTGTAATACATAAAATGGAAAAGGCAAGATACTTGAAGAAGAGTGAGTGAAGATTTTTACCTTTTAGATAAAACTATATCTAGCAGGCTACAAAAATAAACATTGATTGCCTCTGGGATAAGGGAATTTAGTGAGGGGTTATGAGGGAGCCTTTTATATTTTCTGAATTTGAACCAGTAAATGCTATACTTACTCAAACAATAAGTACATTTAAATATTTTAACAAACATTTGCCATAACTCAAGCAAGAGGACCCAAAGTGAAAAGGTGTCCGTGGGCAAGATATCTGAAAGCAGTTTAGAAGTAAGGATCCTTGGGGACTGGAGCGATAGCACAGCGGGTAAGGCATTTGCCTTGCACGCAGCCGACCTGGGTTCGATTTCCATCATCCCATATGGTCCCCTGAGCACCGCCAGAAGTAATTCCTGAGTGCAGAGCCAGGAGTAACCACTGTGCATCGCCAGGTGTGACCCAAAAAAGCCAAAAAAAAAAAAAAAATAGAAGTAAGGATCCAGTAGTATAAAGCAAAAAATAGAAGATACTGGATCTATGACGCTAATGGATATGAGATATATTACTTACTGAGTTGCAGAATACAGGAGAGAGAGCATGAAATTATTTTGAAGGGATTGAGTGAGGCTGGAGCGATAGCACAGCGGGTAGGGCGTTCGCCTTACAAGCGGCCAACATGGCCGACCCGAGTTCGATTCCTCCGCCCCTCTCGGAGAGCCCAGCAAGCTACCAAGAGTATTCAATATGCCAGACACTGTAACAACAAAGTCTCCAATGGAGACGTTACTGGGCCCGCTCGAGCAAATCGACGATCAACGGGAGGGCCTTTACCTTTTACCTTTACCTGAGTGAGGATAGGGAGACAATGGAGTAATGGAATTGGGGGTGTGGAGATTATGGATCTGGTAATGCAGAGGCTGTGTGATCAAAACTGAGACATTCAGGTGGATCTGAAAAAATAAAGCTCAGGAGAAACCCAGTGTCAGGATAAAGAAACAGCTGGTGAATTATAGCCATGAAAGTGGATAAACTCACCTCTGAATAGTAGGTAGAATAAAATGAGAAGTACCTCAGACAGAATCTTGGGACAAACAGCTACAGGTGGGTCTTAAAGATAAATCCTGGGAAAACACCGGAAATAGTGTGAGAGGAAACCAAAGAACCAACACAGGGCCAGAGAGATAATGTTAGGGTTAAGGTATTTTCCTTGCACATGGCCAATCCTGGTTTGACCCTCAGCACCACATAAGCTTTCCCGAGTACTGGTAAGAATGACCCCTGAGCACAGGGCCAGAAGTAGCTCCTGAGCCATCTTCAGGTAAGGCCCCAACCGCTGCTCTACAGAAAAGGACAGATAGCAGGAGAAGCTAAGAAAAGTTTGAACAATTATTGTAGGAAGTGCTATAAGAATTGCCTAAACATTAATACACAGAACAATCAGTTGGGGTTTTACTACATTGGCGAATGCTGTGGCGGAGTGGGGAGAACTACAGCAGGCTGAGGGAGCAGAGAGATGGAAGAGAATCAAATTACTTCATGCTGCCCCTGAGAAGAAAGAAACAGCAGGAGGAAGTAGTCATGAAAAGTTGGGAAGACTTTTATTGTTACTGTCTGAAAATGATTGAGATAGGAGAGAGCCCCTTTTGAGTGTGGTGCAACAGCCAAAAGCAATAGTATTTAAAAGTAAATAATAAAAGAGTTAGAAAATTTTGGGTAATTTGGCCCTTGTTTCTGTATCTTTGTTTTTCTATTTTTGTTTTGGGGCCACACCCAGTGATGCGCAGGGCTTACTCCTGACTCTGCTTAGGGGTCACTCCTGGCAGGGCTTGAGGGATCAGATGCAGTGCCAGCAATCAAACTCAGGTCAGCCACGTTCAAAACAACTACTCTGCCCGCTGTACAGTCTCTCCAGCCCTTAATTGTCCTGGTGGTCAATCTATGCTTCGCCTGCAGCAAGCATGCAAGAGTCTGTCCTGAGGCTGAGTCTGGAGAAGACGTACAACTAACCCAAAAGTTCATGAGAAGCCCAGGGTTAGGGCTGGAGAGAGAGTACAGTGAGTCAAGCACTTGCCTTGCTCACAACCTACCCATGTTCCATCCCTAGCACTCCATATGGTCACCCAAGCCCCGAACACAGAGCCATGGGTAACCCCTGAGCTTTTCAGGGTGTGCCCCTGCCAACCCCCTGCCCCCCGACCCCCACCCCCCAGAAAAGAAGCCCAGAGCCAAAGCAGTGCTGAAAAACAGCAGTGCCCTTTCAAAGCAAAAATGTCTCTTGGGGCATTGTGTAACTGCCTTGCAAGAATGGTGCCACTAATTTTTCTTTGGCACTGTTTCAGGTACCTGTATGTGATCCTGGAGACACTGCTCTTTGTAATCCTCAGCACTGCAAGTGTGCCCTCTCTAGGACACTGTGGCCAATTGCATACAAGCACCACAACTAAAGTGTGCAACCACTAGTGAACACCACAACCAAAAGCATGGGAGCACCTTAACCATGTGTGTGGCCACCATTCATGGCAATAACAAGGAGAAGAAAAGGGGAGAAATAAATATGATAACTAATAAATGAAATATAAAAAGGCTTTACAAATGGGTCTTTTCCTTGCATCTTAGGATTGGGATGAATTTGCTGCTTTTCTTGATATGAATGTGTTTTTTTTTTTATTGCTTTTTGGGTCACACCTGGTGATGCTCAGGGGTTACTCCTGGCTTTGCACTCAGGAATTACTCCTGGCAGTGCTCAGGGGATCATATGGGATTCTGGGAATCGAGCCCAGGTCTGCCGCGTGCCAGGCAAACACCCCACCCGCTCCGCTATCACTCTAGCCCCAATATGAATGTGTTTTAAAGCCATAAATAATCAGACAAAATGTTTATGCTTCAGAGACCTCAGGAATCATTTCAAAGACCTAAAGACAACTATGTGAGCAAGTATTATGTGTGTATTTTTTATTCGTGTTATTATGAAGGCTCTGCGATCTACAAAGTTGTTTAAGTAGGGTTTCAGGTATACAGTGCTTCGGCATGGACACCAGTCCCACCACCAGAGTGAACCTCCCTTCAGCAAAGTTCCCGTGTTCCCTCTTATCAACCACAAGCCTACAACTTTGTCTTTAAAGTCACACTTCCACCATTATTTTCTAAAAATGTCAATCTCATCTTCTTTTAAAATTTGCTTCTCCAGAATTTTGAATGTTTATAAAAATATTTTCTTTCTAATTCGATCAAGATGCTTATCACAAACTTTAAAGTAGACCCAGTCATACTTCCCCTTCCCCTCACTCTCCAGTACTCACAAGGCTGGGTTTTCCTAATTGTCTGTTGAATGCTTATAGTCTTCCACTTAAAATCAACCTCTTCAACCTCTTCTGAAAATGTACAAGCTTGCTACAGTCTTTCATATGGCTCCAGTCTCATCTCCATAAAGCTTTTTCTGCTATTGCTTCTATAGCTCTTATCTTTCTCTGAATAGCTGATATGGCTTTCATTGGTACCTGTTTGTAAAGACTGCAAGATAAATACTGACAACATCGAAAGTAGTTTCATTAATTAAGTTGAAAAATAACTCAGAGTCAGAAAAAATGTTTAGTCTTACTTGGGAGGATACTTAAATTCCTTAAGACAGTATCCAATGCTTACTGCAGCCTTTCTGTTCATTCCTAGAAGTGAACTTCCATATTTGAGAATTATGCTCAGAAATGGAAACAGAGTATAAACATTTAACTTCAGAGACCTGCAGGATGGACTTTTTCAAGGTAAAAAAGCATCTATCTAAATCATGGATCTTGCTCAGCACATATTATTGCTGTAATAGCAAGAAATCTGGTGTCTTCAATTGTATTGGCAGTTCTTGTGTCACGTGAGAACTAAGAATAAGCTAATCCTACCAGAAGAGTCAACAAGAGCTAGAGAGATATAGGGTAGGGTGCTTGCCTTACACACTACCAACAGGGATCCAATTCCCAGCACTAAATGTGGTCACTGAGAATCACCAGGAATAATCCCTGAGCAAAGAACCGGTAGTAAGCCTTGGTCACTGCCAGGTGTGACTGAAAACAAAATTAATTAAATGAGCCAATATGAGAATGAGTGATTTTGGAAATATCACTTTAGTATCATTTTAACTGTACCTACTGATTCAGAAAAATTATACTTTTACAGGTGAAGGGAAGAATAATGGTGAATAAATATAGGGAACAAAGAAAAGTCACCTCATTTGTTTAACCTGAAAATTCTACATTGAGGTTGGTGACATTTAATAAACAATTGGAAGTGAGTCCTCCTTGGTGTAACTATCAGGAATATGTAGCTGAGGAGTCTCGTATCTCTTAGTCTTCTGTTCTGTTTAAAAAAATCTCTCAACAATTTGAAGATTGGAGATCTGAAAATTGGGTTATTTTGGTCTTTTGACCTCTGGAACTTTCAAGCATTGTTCTCCAACCCTCCATCTCATCCTAAATTAGAAGTGCATTGGCTTATAGGAAGTGAGTTAGAATCATGATTGCTAAAATATTTAGTTTTCAAATATTTAGTTTTCAAATATTTCAGGCACACGTATGTATCCCCCTTCTCCTTCAGAACTATTGCTTCTACTGTTTACAGTAGCCCAAATCTGGAAAAAACCCGTGTGCCTGAGAACAGATGGCTGGTTAAAGAAACTTTGGCACATCTACACAATGTAATACGATGCAGCTGTTAGAAAAGATGAAGTTTCCATATAGGTGAATCAACATGGAAAGTATCATGTTAAGTGAAATGAGTCAGAAAGAGAGAAACAGACATAGAAAGATTGCACTCATTTGTGGAATATAAAGTAACAGAATGGGAGATGAACACCCAAAAATAGTAGAGATAAGGAAGGATCGCTCCACAGCTTAAAAGCAGGCCTCGCATGCTGGGGGAAAAGGCAGCTCAGATAGAGAAGGGACCACCAAGTAAAGGGTGCTAGGAGGACCAGCTCAGGATGGGAGATGCAGGCTGAAAGTAGACTATAGACCAAACATGATGGCCACTTACTACCTCTATTGCAAATGACAACACCCAAAAAGAGAGAGCAAGAGGAAATGCTCTACCACAGAGGTGGGGTAGGTTATAGGGCATGGGGTGGGGGTGGTGGGTGGGATGCTAGAACCATTGGTGGTGGGAAATAGGCACTAGTGGAGGGATGAGTACTCAATCATTGTATGTCTGAAACGGAAGCACCGAAAGTTTGTAAGTCTATAACTGTACCTCACAGTGATTCACTAATTTAAAAAAAAAAGTGCTTTTAGCAGAGATTATTAGGCTGTAATTCATATGGTTATTTGTGATCGTATGACTTCATTTTTTAACAACTCTTTTTTTTCTCCCCACAGGACCCTGAAAAATCAGTTTACATTGAGAAATCAGGTAATCACTCTGACTCTGAAAATTTTTCCTTAGATATTTCCTTGTTATAGAAGGATGCAAACAAACAGCAGGTCAGAAGAAATAGTACAGTAGTTAAGGTATTTGCTTTGCATATAGCCAACCTAGGTTTGATCCTAACAACCACGTTTGGTGCCCCAAGTACTGCCAGAAGTCACTCCTAAGCACAGAGCTAAGAATAATCCCTAAGTACTTTGATGGTAGCCCATCCCACCCCTTTCTAAAAATCGAAAAGAGATAGGATGTGTATCCTTCATAAATATTTAGATGCCTGATAAGGAGAAATGGTTCACTGTATTCCCTTGGGATGCATATTAATCCTTTCTTTGCCCCCAAGATGTGAGATTCCTCTGACCACAGCTAGAGTGGAAGACTTGACCAGGGACTGTCCTGCTCAACAGTGGCTATAAGATGGAGCCTACATAATTCTAAGGGTCGCTCCCCTGTGGTTTTACTAGTGCAGTCCAGATGTGTCTGTCTACACAAATTGCTTCTGTTAAGTAATGGAGATTCGTGCCTTCTTGTCTCGGTCAGACCAATGATGTCGTACTTGATCATTCGCGCTTGTACCATCAGGTCCTCGATGGATGCATCTGATGCTAGCGTACGTGCATTGAAAGTACAGACGATCATTTTTGTCTTCCTTCGTTGTGGCAGCCTAGGTCGGCCTTGAGATTTTGTCGGCCTCTCCTTTCTCATCCTTCTCAGTGCTGCCATGTCAGTGAAGCCTTCAGGGTCAGGTGAATGAGACCAGTTGTAGTTACTGGTTTTGGCATATCGAATACACAGCGGATAGCTTGCCAGGCTCTTCCGTGCGGGCGGAATACTCTCGGTAGCTTGCCAGTCTTTCCGAGAGGTATAGAGGCTTTTGGGGTGACCTCTAATCACCCTTGTAGGTGTTACCATATTTGAACCCTATCAAATATGGTACGACAATTCCAGAAGACGGGTATTTAGTGTCTTATGAGGTGTCGCGCGGCTGCTTGCGGCCGCGTGGGTCCGGAAAGCGTCCTGGAGTGTGGCGACAGCTGGGTAGTGGAAGTAGTGTCCACTGTCGACACTGGAGAAGAATTGTTCCTCGGAACATGCGATAAAAGAGGTGTTGGAGGCGTCGGTGTCCTTGTCAACACAAACTTGGCCAAGAGCATTGATTCATTCGAATGCCTAACAACCCGAATCGGACGTTTACATTTGAATAGATGTGGCTCACTGCCTGCAGTTTCTATCTTCATTGTCTACGCACCAACATCTCATTACGATGAAAGAGAAATCGAGAAGTTCTACATGGAGCTAGAGAAGTTCTATAAAGAAGACCACACCTTCTACAAGATCATTGTGGGTGATTTTAATGCCAAGATAGGACCGAGAAGATCAGCTGAAGAACTTCACATCGGGACCCATGGCCTAGAATGGAACGAACAGGGTGAGAGACTGTCTGAGTTCATCATGTCAACCAAGACCATTCATGGTAACTCAGAGTTCCAGAAGGCAGAATCTAAACGATGGACATGGGAGTCTCCCGGTGGACGATTCCACAACGAAATAGACCACATCATATTCAATCGACGGTTTTGCCTGACTGATGTCGCTGTTGTCCCAAAATTTCGAACGGGATCGGACCACCGTCTCCTTCGTGCAAAATTCTACTTCACAGAGCGGGGAGAAAGGGCTGCAAAGTTCAAAAAGAGAACTCCCAGAATGACCACCAACTGGGAACTCTTTGGTACTATTGCGGCAACATGGGAAGATGCCATTGTTGACAACATTGACGAGGAATACGATCGACGGGTTCAGCACCTCCATGAATGTGCGAGGAACGCCAAGAGAGAGATAGCCACAAAAAGTCGCCTATCTTCGAAAACTCTTGAGCTAATTCGCCAGCGTGGTTTGGCGCATGCCTCAGGCAACCGCAAGCTAACGTCCGAGCTTGCAAAGCAGTGCAGAGATGCGATCAAGGAAGACCTCAAAGAGAGAAGAGCAGAAGTACTGGTAGATGCAGCAGAAGCCGGGAAAAGTATTCGTAACGCCCGCCTGTCCTTCGCCAACTATAAGACCAAGATGACTGCCCTCCGACGTCCTGATGGATCCATCACATCCTCCAGAACGGCAATGGAGAAGATTATCCATGACTTCTACTCAAATCTCTTCGATAGCCATGTCCACTTGCCGACATACCAAATTCCACAGGATGGGTATGTCGTTCCCAACGTTCTCCCTTCCGAAATCCGACACGCCATTTCGTCGGTAAAGAAGCAAACAGCACCCGGCCCAGACAAGGTCAGACCTGAACACCTGAAGAACCTGCCGTCAGTACTCATCAATACACTGGCTCGGCTCTTCACTCGCTACCTGTCTGAATGCAAGGTTCCGTCTCAATGGAAAACCAGCAGGACCGTACTACTGTTCAAGAAGGGAGACATCCATGACATTGGCAACTATCGCCCGATCTGCCTATTGTCTGTCATCTACAAGTTGTTCACTCGAGTCATCCTGAATAGGATTGGCAGAACACTAGATGAAGGACAACCATGTGAGCAAGCAGGGTTCCGCAAAGGATTCAGCACCATCGACCATATCCACATGATAACCAAGCTCATTGAGGTTTCTCGGGAGTTCAAGATGCCGCTCTGCTTAACGTTCATTGATTTAAAGAAGGCCTTTGATTCTGTTGAGACGGAAGCGGTCATTGAAGCCCTAGCCAATCAGGGCATTCAAGCCCAATACATCAGGATCCTCCGTGAGCTCTATTGCGGATTCACTACCAGGATCTCACCATTCTACAAAGAAGTGATCGTTGATGTCAAGAGAGGGGTGCGGCAGGGTGATACCATTTCACCGAAACTCTTCAGTGCCACCCTCGAGAACATCATGCGACGACTGGAATGGGAAGGAATGGGAGTGAAGATAGATGGTTGGCAACTACACCACCTCCGCTTTGCTGATGACATTGTTTTAATAACACCAAACATCAGCCAAGCGGCACAAATGCTGGCCGACTTTGACCGTGAGTGTGGAAAGGTAGGACTACAGCTGATTCTTACGAAGACAATGTTTATGAGAAACAGCCTTGTTCCTGACACCCCATTCGCTCTCAATGGAACGACCATCTCCGAATGCAACAGCTATGTGTACCTAGGTCGAGAGGTCAACATAACAAATGACCTGGCACCCGAGCTGTGCAGGAGGAAGAGAGCGGCTTGGAACGCCTTCAAGAACGTCGAAGAAACAGCTAAGAGGACGAAGAACCTCCGGCTCCGGGCACATCTCTTTGATTCCACTGTTCTTCCTGCATTAACATATGCCTCAGAGACCTGGGCCCTACGCAAACAAGATGAGAACGCCATTTAGGTCTCCCAAAGAAGAATAGAAAGAGCTATGCTTGGAATATCACGTTTCACTCAAATGAGAGAACGAATCCGGAGTTCTGACATCCGTTGACGATCAAGGATCAGGGACGCTGTCTCATATGCCAAGGTGTCGAAAATCAGATGGGCTGGTCACGTAATGAGATTTAAAGACGACCGTTGGACTAGAGCTGTTACTGATTGGATTCCACGGGATGTCAAGAGACTGCGTGGCCGCCCACCTACCAGATGGTCAGACTTCTTTGTCAAGATCATGAACGATCGGTTTGAGGCTCTTCATGTTCCCAGAGCGAAGAGATGCCATTGGGCTACACTAGCACGCGACAGGGACAAATGGAGACGTTACTGGCGCCCGCTCGAGCAAATCGACGACTAACGGGAAGTTAAGTGATTAAGTGATTAAGTAATGGAAGCCACTAGAGCTATTTCTAGGTGGCTCAGAATAGAAATGGAAGTTGGAGCACAGAGCCTGGATTTGCCCCTAAACACTGCTGACTGTGGCCCAAAATTCCAAATGGGAACTATAAATATGTATACACACATGTATATATGTTTATATAACTACCCCATTTTACCTGATATACATTTTACGTCTTTGAAATAAAGCTACTTTCGATCAATCAGATGCCAGAGTTTAAAGGCACTATTTTTCCTTTTTAATAACAATTCTTTAGATCACATGATATATAATGTCACAGACTTTCTCCAGGAAGCAGAAGTTGAGATGGAATTAGGAGGCCCAAAAGGTTCATGGTAAAAAGAAAAGTGTAGGTACTCGGGTCAAAAATGAGTGCCTTTTACCTAAGTGACACCCCAAGCATGCCCTGAGGTTGTGCTCTCCAGGCCATCTGATCCGCTTAAGAGGCCCTCCAAACATGGAGCAGACACACCTGGCTCTGCCCAAAGGTCAGTAGCCGCCACTTTTTCCTGAAGCAGCAGCCTATAACATAGCTATAAAAAATGCTCTCCCCTCCTCAAAAGAGTTCTCCCAAATATCTTTCTGACACTGTGTGTGTGTGTGGGGGGGGGGGGGGTGGCTGGGAGGGGAAGAGGAAGTAGTATTACTGAGAGAAAAGTGGAAAAGACTCACCCCCAGGCTACTGTTTTACGTGGTAAAACAGTGCAGATTCCACCATGTGTACTGGGCAAAGGATTGTAATCCTCTCTAAAAAGGACTGCAGAGTAGAAATGCTTAGGATGTTTAATGAGCTCAAAGAAACAATAGAATGGACAGTCAGTAAAACAAAAGGTATGAAAACAGAAATAAGAAAACTATAAACAGAAATGACAGAACTGAAAAGCTTCATAGGCAAAATGAAAAAAATCTTTGGAAGAGTGACAGTTGCTGAAGACAGAATCAGTGAGTTCCATGATGAGGTGCAGAAAAACTCCAGACAACAGCAGAAAATGGGATGCGGAGAGCCTCAAAATATATAAGCAGATGAGAAGAGAGCTTTGGTATGAAGTCAAGAGAAACAGTATAAGAGTAATCGGAGTCACAGAGGACCAAGAAGGAACCCTCATGTAGAAGCAACATACAAGTACGTCATTGCTGAGCAGTTCCCAGAGCTGGAGATCGCATGCACCCAGATCCAGAAGGCCTAAAGGGTACCAGCT